GAGGAGTTCCGCGTGAAGGAAGCTGCACTGCAGAGTGGAGAGACCATCCACATTGCAAATTGCAGACTTGCTTGCAATATGTAGTGAGAAGCATGTTGAGTTGGCCCCAGAGTTGCGTGCTCTGAAAGGTCGAGTGTGTTACCGTGGCGATTCTGCAAAGACGGCTGAAGGGAAGCTGGCGCTCTACCAGACGTTAGCAGCGTCTCCCGCTTCAATCGTTGCAGCCAATAGCGGCATTTCTTTTGGTCTTTTTGAGGGTCACAAGTTGTCGTCGGCAGACGCCGTTAAGGCGTATCTCCAGTCCGAGTTGAAAAGTCTGGCTGTCACATACATCAGGCTCCCCAGAGAGCTCTGGCCTGAATCTTGGTTCACTCCAAGTGGCTACCCTCGATACAAAAGGCCGATCATTAGATTGCGCAAATCGCTGTACGGACACCCAGAGGCTGGGGCCCACTGGCAACAGTTTCTCGAAGAACAGTTGTGTCTCTTAGGAGCGGTCAAGGTTGAAGAGTTTGCATCCACCTTCACCATCCCTACCTTCAGAGGACTGGCATTGGTTGTTTACGTGGACGACTTGACTCTTTCGGGACCAAGTCAGTGGCGCGAGCCTTTCTGGGAGGCATTGGGTGAAAAGGTGCTGATAGATGACATTGGACCGTTGGGTCGCTTCCTTGGTCGACACCACTCCACTGTCGAAGTCGACAACGCAGAGTTCTTTGGCTTTGATATGTGTGCATATGCAGAGACTACTGTTCAAGAATACTTGAGGGTTGCTAACAGCCCGAAGATGAAGACCGTTGCATCACCGTTCCTCAGCAAAGGGTTTGTTGGAGCAGATGACTTTGGCAGCTTCCGCCAGCAGCATTTTGGATGAGACTTATGTGGTTGGCGCGCCTTGCTCGCCCCGACCTGTTGAGAGTTGTCACTTGGCTGGCTACCATGGTACAGTCCTGGACGCAAGCTTGTGATGCGTACTTGTACCGTGCCATGTGTTACCTCGAGTGCACCAAGAGCGCTATGTTGCTTGGTCATGTGCGTGATGCACCGCAGGATGTGTTTGTTGAACTTTTCGCAGACGCAGACTACTGTGGAGACAATGAACATACTCATAGCACCACAGGTGGATGACTACAGTTGTCTGGACCGCAGACGTCGTTTCCGTTGGCCTGGCTGTCAAAGAAACAGACGGCTACGTGCCGGAGCACGACCGAGGCGGAGACCGTCGCACTGTCGTATGTACTCTTTGAGGAAAGGTTGCCGTTGGTTGAGTTGTATTCTGCAATGCTTGGGCGTCCTGTCTTCGTGAAGACAACACAGCTTGCGCGAAAGTAGTATCAGTTGGATACTCCAAGAAGCTGAGACATCTCAAACGCGTCCATCGCGTGAGTTTGGCTTCAGTGCAGGAGCAGTTGGATCGCGATGACGTGGAACTAAGCCCTTGCTGGAACAAGCGACCAGAAAGCCGATGCTTTCACAAAAGCAGTCAAACCTGCACTATGGCCCAAAACCCTCCAAAACCTTGGAGTGCAGCTTGATGGATACACCATCAAACATACCTCAGGGACTGGTTCGAAGTTGGACAAACAAATGATGTTGGAGCCCGAAGTTACCACAAGTGTTCCACAGCGCACAAACAAGCCACCGCCGGTTTCATACAAGAAGAAGCAGAAAAAGAAGTCGCAAAGGCTAGCGCCATACCGAACAGAAGACCTCAAACACGAGTCGGATGTCGCGTCGGTTGGAACTCAAAGAGCTGACCCTGTGATGACTCCGCAGCCCAGGAGCAGAGGGGGGAGATGAATTCCACCTGACCATATCGTCCCGAGCATGTACTGAAGTACTGAGTGCATAGGAGACTCTTGCGTGAGTTGAGGCAGAAGGTATGAGGCAATGGATGAATGTAGCTTTTGTCGAGCCAAGTGCTAGACGCTACAGAGGAATCGTAATGTGAACACTTACAGGGATGGACCCCCTAGTTATAACTTAGTTACTGAACTTGAAAAAGATATAAATAAGTTATACCGAAGTTAGTAAAATGTCGTAGTCATGAGTTTATATCTAATTTGTAAGTAAGTTATAAGTTCCGTAACTTCAAAATGCTAATTTTTTGATTCAATTTTGATCACTGCTACCATTGATTCACCAATTTCTTTATAATTGAAGTTTTGTTGTTTTTGGTGTTAAAACAAGCTTGAAACCAATGAATTTTTAACCAACAAAGTAGTTCAAGCAAAAAATGTGCGGACCACCGCCAAACAAAACTAACAAGAACAAGTAGTTCAACCGCAAAACGCGCGGACCACCGCCAAACAAAACTCAGAAATTGTTCGGACCACCGCGAAAAATGTGATTCCTTAGCTGGCACAATCTGAGTTAAAGGCTGGGCTTCGGCTTCAACCATGTCAAGGTGGGAGGGCTTTATCAAAATCTTAGATTTTGAACTTGGAAAACGTCAACTGGCGTACATTGGCCAAAGATTGTTTGACAAATGTTGTGACATCAAGGAGAACACAAACACATTTAATCACACACATCTTCGAAAAACAGATACATACATGTGAGAAAGTGTAAAAACTAATGTGTCCGTATTCATCTGTATGTGTCTGTGTGCACTATGCAACTGCGCGCATACCTCTGCATACACCTGCTTACCTCGGCATACCTCTGTGTACCTCTGCCCATACCTCTGTATACCTCTGTGTACCCCTGCCTAGGGCAGAGGTAAACAGAGGTATACAGAGGTATGGGCAGAGGTAAACAGAGGTAAACAGAGGTACACACCTCTGTATACCTCTGTTTACCTCTGCCCATACCTCTGTATACCTCTGTATACCTCTGCCCTAGGCAGGGGTACACAGAGGTATACAGAGGTATGTGCCTCTGCATACCTCTGTTTACCTCTGTGTACATCTGTCTCTTCAGCTTTTTACCATGTGTCTAAAGTCCTGGTTTCCAGGAATAATCAAAAACATGGTATCAAGAAACAAACAAAGGTATCCTGCCAGCCAGGATCACTCCCAACCACCGCCATGCCAGGGTTTTAAAATCATTTTGCCCTGGCAGCCAGGACTTTAACTAGCAGGCTACCATCCTGGCAGCCAGGACACCCTTTATAACCACATATGTACATTGCATCAGTGACATTCGAGAACAAATACTCATTTGTTTGCAAAAGCTTAAAGACGACTTATAAGTAATTGGTTGGAACGGTCAAATTACAACTAGTACAAACAATGCCCAAGTCAGAGTGCGGACCAACAGAAAATCCAACAGAAATCTGGCCAACAGAAAACATCAAAGATGTAGATAGCGTAAAAAATGAACTAAAATAAGTCAAGAAAACAGGTACCTCAAAAAGAACAATGTATTCTATCAACGTCAGCAAGGGAACCAAAAAAAACAATGAAAAAACATACCAAAATGCTAACTTCCGTAACTTCAAACTAACTTCAGGAGCAGATCTTTAAAAAAGAACTTGTAAGTAAGTTATAATTACAGTAAAACATATATGTAAGTTATAATTTGAAAACGAACTTAGTATACTTAAGCCAATTTATAACGGTGTTACCGTGACTTATAACCTAACTTGCCCCAAGTTATAACTTGGTATAACTAAGGGGTCCATCCCTGTATACATCATCGGAAATAGACATGCTTGAAGAAGCATATCCGATTGGACTGTGAACTTGCCAAATAACACTTTGGCTCAAAGTGTGCCTGAAAAAGACTGAGGCTGCGCTTCATGGTCGCGATCGATCGGACGTTCGCGATTCGTGTGCTGCCCCTATATTGATAGAATCAGATATACGAACAGCTTTCAACTCCTTTTTCAATCCTGGGAGGACAAGACAAATATTTTTCAGTTGTTTGGAAAACCTTCTTCACAAAACTCTAATAATGGACTGTAAGCGCTGCATTTTGGTTTAAATTGTTTTCAAGCTCCAGCTGGTTGTAAAATGCATTGAACATAAATGAAAATCAATACAATTATATTTCTGCGCGGAGGTCCTTGAGATATATACATATATACATATATATGCACACACACACACACGCATGTACGCTATACTCTCACAAGGTTGCCAAGACATGACATCTCAGACATGACATGCCCATATTTACTGTGCCTGATTTCTAAAGCCCGTCCAACCCTTAATATTTGATACGAAAACCAGCCGATAGGCTAGGCTGAATTGCTTGATGGGCAAATGAAGTGAGTATAAGGGGGTGGGGGCGGGGTGGTTGCGAGGTCGTGCTTTTCGGGGGCGGAGAGCGAAAAAAAAGGGAGTGGACAAAATGTAGTCAAAATGCATGTTTATAAGGGCCTTGGCGACGTGAGCGATGCCAAAAAATTTAATAGTGCATCATCGCAAACTGGCCAGGCAGTGAGTCTAATTAATTGTGCGTATGGTTCATCTTCCCCAGCATCGTTTTGTCACGGCGTTGGGGAAGACAAAAAGGGCATCTTCTGGGATCTAGCTAGGTCTCCCCAACTAGCTGAAAAAAGAGACGCGTTGAAAGACTATGTTTGCGGTCTGTTTGAAGGGTTTGGTCCAGTGTTGGCACCCCTTTTGATCGTTTTGTCATGGTCTGGGGAAGACAAAAAGGACACCAGCAAAGGAGTGCGTTCTTCTGGGATCTAGCTAGGTCCCCCCTGTAAAAAAAAATATGCGTTGATAAGTTGATCAACTATGTGTGCGGTCTCTTTGAAGGTTATGTGTGGTCCAGTGGTGGTGTCCTTTGTCATCGTTTTGTCACGGTTTTGGGGAAGACAAAAAGGGCACCAGCAAAGGAGTGCTATCTTCTGCGATCTAGCTAGGTTTATTGAAGCAGCTGTACAGAAAATGTTGTTTGTTGTTCCCAATCTCTACAAGGGCTGCCTTTCGTCCCCTCCCTTTTCACGTTTATCTACACACGCTGATGCAAATTATTTGTTCAAATATATGTATCAAACAACACAGCTTTGGAGGTTGAAACTGACCGTGACTTCAGTGATTCAGGATCTGGAGCTGCCAATGGAGGCCTACTACTCCGTCCAAGAACAGACCTCAGATGAGGCCCTATGGCAGAGTTAGCTCGGAGTAGTCATAGATGACTTGTGTTTCGGGTCATTCATTGCCACCACATAGTTTCTGACAGGTTTTCAAGAGAACGTTTTGGCACGTGCAGTCAACGGTGGGCGCTTTTGAGGCTTATTTGTTTTAAATATTAGATTGGTTTGATTCATTTTTGATGTGTTGATGTTTTGTTTGATTCTCTCGAGAGACGGTCCGTGGTCAGAGACTGTAGGCAGAAGAAGTTGGTGTTGAGCACCTTCTTCGAGACATCAAAAATGCGTGCGCCGCCTTCAATTTGCAGTTTTAAAGGTTTTAAGCATGTTTTTGGGTTGGCAGATGTTCAGGTCAGCTTCAACCCTTGCAGTGCGGGTGGGCGACAAAATCGGTGCCTTGAAGGCCATGAACTCTGAGCAAATCGAAAGATCCGTTGTTTGCAAAATGCATCCCTTGCAATGTCAGTTTGCCAGGGCCTTGCAATGCGACTTCGGGAAATTTCCCAATACCTGAGCCAAGTGGTAGCTGGAAAGCTTCCAATGAACCAGGTGCCAAGAGAAGAACTGAGCAGTGCAACGCTTCTCAAGACAGCTTGTCTCAGGAGATCATTTACCAGCTTCAAGAGATTTTCAATCTGATGCCGGATCAGGCGCCAAAACCCAGAGCATGGCAGCATCAATCGGACTAAATTTCGTCTATGTATATAACATTGACATTTTAAACAATGTGCTCATGAAATGCTGCTGACGTGGTTAATTCAACTTGTCTATGCTGAAGAGACAGAGAGGTGTTCTTTATCATTCCATTGTTGAGATCAACTTTAAGACTTCAGATTCCTCCTCAAGTCCGATTATAGTATATACTTTGTGCTATCCAAGCTCATTGTGTTGTTTTTCAATTCCTTTCAAAACATCAATAAAGGTTGCCTTCACAGTCAAAAGGCAAAGGCCATTGGATATTCTGCTTGCATAGAGTGGATTTTTGTTGTACATTTTGCTGGATCTACTGTAGATTCTACAGATAATGACGGCCTATGATGACCCTAAGTAGACAAGATGCTTTTGACATTAGCACCCAGGACTCCGAAGAGCTCGTTAGATCTTTGGCAACAGAGACGAATGACATGATGCACAGACCTCAAAAGGTGTGTTTTGGTGTTTGTTTTTGGAAAACTGCATTTGATGTTTGCTTCTGCCACATGTTGCGCACAGCCATCAGGCTGGCATTGTATCTGGGTAGTATGCTGCGCTCGACTGTGGCATTGCACAATTTGATCAACAACAAGATGAAGAATAAAAAGGTCAAGGCCGCAGCTTCGGTACACATTGCACCTCCTCCGTTTGGCTTGCTAGCTTAATTCCTACATTGGCAGGAGAAAGGTCCAGAAAACAAGGACGTCGCCCTTAAAGCATGCGCGCTTGTGTTCTCCAAGCGGGGGGCGCCAAGCAATCGCCTGAGGAGAAGGGAAAGAAAGAAGAAAAGGAGAAGGCAAAGGACAAAGAGAAAGATGGAAAGGAGGAGGTTCGATCCGCGTGACGCATCTCGTGGCACTGTTATCCACAAATATTGTCAGGCCAAGCAATCCTGACCGCAGAACCAGAATGCGTCAAGCTCGGCCCCAGAAGGAAAAGTTGTCCGGTGTGTGCTTCTAACTCCAACCTTTCGAAACTGCAGTTTGAAATCAGTCCATTGCTCATGGTTACCATGTGTTATTTGTTCAGTTTACTGAATAGAGCACTGTACATTCAGCTATGATCGACTAATGTCACTGGAGCTTGAAACTAGGGAAAGGCCGTGTTCTCCGAGTCAGTGTCACACGAAACCCAGAATGTGAATGAATATGACATATAATGTACTCGTGTCGAAACATTGGCAGCAAATCCATGTGGCGGCCCTTCTATAGCCTAAGCTGAGGAGTCGCTGCAGACGGTGTAATCACATGTAATCACACTCGGAATGCTGATGGATGTGCGCACCACTATCAAATCCTTTTACAGTATATCCTTTTATTGACTTGAAACGGCAGACTTGATTCGTCCCCGGAATGCAAGGGCCCTTAGCGGCTTTATGCAGCAAGATTGAATCACAAACCACGTGCCACTGCCTTCTTATTGGTACGTGCCTGTACAATGCCTTGCATTCATTTTCTTGGAGTCTGTGCTGCTGAAAGATGGGATGGCAAACTGTCCAAGCCTACCTAATTAATTACGTGGGATCCCTCACTGGATTGTCGATATGGATGAAAGAAGGAAAGCTGGGCGCTGTTGCGACTCCAGAGCTAGTTAGTTTGCTAGATCCATGGCTCATTCTGCGTCAACGTTCTGAAGGCCATCATCGACTTTAGTATATAGTGGCTCCACTCAAAACGAATGAAGCTGGACGATTCACTGTCAATGTAGTTTGCGCAGCTGGATCTGCTAAGTTGGAACAAGAAATCGCGCCCGCCAACGTTGAGCGCGACTCGGTTCTTATTTTGGTTCTTTTTGCACATGGCTCCGGACTCCGGCTCCAACAATAGGCATCAGCTACCAGGACCATGTCCGACAGCCCTGCGAGGATGACTTGGTTTTCAGCTTGAGTTCAGCAATCTCCACACGATAGTTGCGCTTGGGGCGGGAGGCTGCCCCAACCTCAATAAGGGAACTCTGAAGCTTGCCCAACTATACCTACTGGTCGGAGAATCTCCAAGACGTTTGGCATTGATTGTCGAGGTTGGAGACGTTGTGTTCTGCCGACGCCTCAACTTCGGCCACCAGATCAGGATCACCATCTCCAGGATTCCCTTCACAAACATGCCAGCGGCAAAGTTCTTTCGTGTCACAACAACTCTGGGTGGCAAGAACACATTTCGGGACAAAAGCTGCAAGGTTTCAAAGCGCCCAATGAACCTGCAAGTACCGCGCTACTATCGCCCTCGGAAATTCAGTCTTAAGGTCTCCTGTGCCATCTCACCAGCTTCCTTCCTTTGATAGGTGGTGGTCCAGGTGTTCTTAGCAAAAGTGTCGTGGAGCCTTAGGCAGCATCTTATCGAAAAAGACGACGCACAAGTTTACAAGAACCACCCGGGCCCTTGGCCCTTGGAAGAGCGAGTGACCGAGTCACATATACAACTGAATTGAAGCATCAATGCACAAGTGAGTGACTCTGTGGGATGAGAGAGGCTTGATAAAGCCGACGAAGCCAGCGAGCTTGCCAAAATGCAACTCACGAAGATTGATGCAGTGAGGATAAGTAGATATAAGAAGTATATAGAAGTATATAAATAGATGTTTAGTTGACCGGAACCTGACTTTGAACTGGTTAAGGCGAGATTCCACTGGTAAACCGGGTTGGACCCAACAAAATCAAAGAACACTAAGTACCCAGGGAATCTTAGGCCCATCGAGAACAAACTCAATTGCCACATCCTGCAGATATTGAGTCAAGGCATTAAAATACTCCATAGGGTAATGTGAAAGCGTGCTTCGAGCACTCTGATGCCCATTCGATGCCGCCGCCATAGCGCTCGTGTGTTGGCGTTCTACCCGGCAAACGTTGAGGAGGGGGCGTCCCCAGTCAATATAGCCACAGCCTAAGCCGAGGAATTCCTGCTGACAACGCAACCACTGCTGATGGGTGTTCACATGTGGAGATTCTCACACCATGATGAATCATGAAGCAGTAATAAATATGAACAAGGGAAACGAATAATATCCGTGGATGCTGATCAACTGATCAACCAACCCACGTTTTAATGATTCGTAGTAATGATGGAAATTCTGAGATGTATTGTTCGTATTTTTACGCGACCACAGGAGCCATGGTCCATGAGGCGTTCGCTTGTGACGCTGTTTGGTCTGTTGTTTGTGGCGCTCATTTTCTCGTCGCTTGTGACACTCCCTGCTTTGATAGCTCTGCCGACTTTCCCGCACCTACACAGCTCACCCCACCCCACTCATGATGATGGCGGTGAGAATCGCGATGGCATGCGCAGGTGCAGGTCTGCTAAGTTGTTTCGAACATTACCCCACCCCGCCCGGCCCCATGATGGTGGTGATGAGGATCGCGCTGGTGTGTGCAGGTGCGGGTGTGCAAGTGGTTTTGAACGTGAGGACACCCCATCCCAGCCCAGCCCACCCCACCCATGATGATGGAAATGAGGATCGTGCTGCATTTGTGTCGCAAGTGACGGCAAAAAGGTAGGCATCATTTGTGTCGCAAGTGATATGCAAACTTGTGTCGCAAATGAATGGTGGACCGCCATGGTCAATCACTGCAACATAGATCAATGTTTCCTGTATAGGATTCAAACACGCTATCAAGCAGGTGGGGCTATGAATTTTGCAATAGTTTGCACTCGGATCACCACATGACATCTTCCACCGTGTCATCATGTTCATATATTTTGTTGCATGTGTTTGCAAATTTTGACTGTGACAGCATGACTAACAGTTCTACGTTGGCTCGATCCCGCACGTGCAAATTCATCAGCCATTTCAGCAGAAGTCTAATAAACATAGTCATCCGCTAAATCTAAGTCAGTCTGGGGGTTGGACAATGAACATAAACGGTGCGTCACCCTAATTCTGCATCATTCAACCTTTGCCCACCAGACATAACCAGACTATGGATATTTACATCTATATTATTATATATGCAGCTATGCATTTTATAGTATTCATTATGGAGATATCAAATATATGATGTGGTTAACTGGCACTTGTTTTTTCCAAGACGCTCCGTCCATCTCCATGTTCCTCTAACGCACAACAATGTTTCAATACACTAATGAAGGGTGCTGAAAATGATTAAGGAAACGCATACATGAGACAAAAGGAGGCCACGATCAAACTCTTTGAGCCTCCAAGATCGGATATGTTCTTAATGCTTTCAGCTCCCCGCCCAATGGATTTGCTGCAGAGAATTCATTTTGAGAAGAGGCCGGGAAACCAGCAGAAGCATGAACACTCCGCATACATCACAAAGCCTCCTTTTGGATCATGCTGAATCCTTGCAACCATTGCCAAGTACTACCTCTGTTGAAGAAGTTGAGAGGAGGGCACATGTTGCTTCTGTCGAATCTATTGACTTCGACTTCTATGAGAGTGAGCAAGGCTTGGCAGTCACCGCGACAAAACGGAAGCGAATTGTTCAAGCAGTTGCAAAGTGGATAGCAATCGCAATCATTGGTGTGGCAACTGGTTCTGTGGCATCTGGTATTGATTATGGTATCGTCCGGCTCACAGAAATGCGATTTGGCCTCATGAGAACCCTTGTTAGACATGGCCTTAGTTCCACACTGCTTGTTCTGGCAAACATGGCAATATGTACAAGTTTGGCTGGAATTGCAGGAGCTTTGGTTTGCTTTGTTTCACCGTTGGCGGCAGGCAGTGGCATTCCAGAGGTGAAATGTAGGCTGAACGGATTGGACCTTCCTTTAGTAGTGAAGCCACAGACGTTATTGGCTAAAGCTTGTGGGGTGCTTTTCAGTGTTTCAGCTGGCTTGCCTTGTGGCAAAGAGGGCCCCATGATCCATAGCGGCTCGATCATTGGTGCTCTTCTCTCAAAAGCGTTACAACTTTATGAGCTGCTGCTTTTTCCGGATCGTGATGAACGAGATCTCATTGCTGCTGGTGGCGCTGCAGGTACCCGAACCCTGAACATATATATATATATAGAGAGAGAGAGAGAGCGGGTAGTCATGGGGGGTGGGGTTGTGAAAGTTGTGATTTTGTAAGGTTTTTCTCTTTTTGCAGATGATATGACATTGATAGGGTTGTGAAAGTTGTGATTTTATAAGGTTTTTATCTTTTTGCAGATGATATGACATTGATAGGGTTGTGAAAGTTGTGATTTTGTCAGGTTTTTTTGGAGATGATATGACATTGACAGGGTTGTGAAAGTAGTGATTTTATAAGGTTTTGCATTTTTTTGCAAATGATATGACATTGATAGGGTTGTGAAAGTTGTGATTTTGTAAGGTTTTGCTCTTTTTGGGGATGATACCACATTGATAGGATTCTAAAATTGGTGTTTTTTTTGCTCTATGTGCAGTTGGTACGCATATTCGTTCATTCAACTATGTACTACAAAAATTCATTATAAATCCCAAAGGTTAGGTGTTTACTAAAAAGTTCTTGGATGCAGGAATCTAATTCCACGCAGCCCCCATGCAAACCCATATGTCTTGCTTTTAGAGTGTGAATTGTATTGCTCTTATTGAACGCAATTGGGCAAGTACATCAGAATCAGAAGGCAAAGAACTACATACCCTAAATAACCAAATTCTAATTTAATTCTAAGGAGGTATGAGTTGGGGCGTTCAAAGCAAGCGGTCTTTTCCACCTACTCAGCTTGAGCCAAACCGTTTGGTTGGCG